TGGTTGATTTGTTTTATTAGGTTAGTTTTTCGAAGATAATTTTTAAAGCTTTAAACATATATAATTATGGTGCGAATTCGTCCTTGTGCTGATCCAGATTGTCAGGATAAAGTTAGTCGCAGGTAAGGAATACATTTACAATTTTATTTCTTTACAACTAAAAACTTCTTTTTGTATTTTATTCTTAAATACTGCCAAATTTTAAGAGCATATATTATTACTTAAAAGTACCCAATTTGTGAAATAAATTTCCAAAATAATGCGGGTAACCTAATGTTTTCTAGGAAAAATTAAAAATCTTAACCTAACTTTTATCATTTTCTATACAATTTCAGTAACTAGATAAAATATGTGAATATAAAGAAGATTGAAATAAATAGTGTTATTAGTATTTTTTTAGAATTATACAATATGTAATGGATACTTTATAGTAGATACCTATATACAATTTTTTTTCCGAATTCAAAATGAGGTACTTTTCAAACATACCAATAATTGTATATTTTATATTGTGTGACTCTTATTATTTTTTGCTCCATATACTGTGACCTACCTCACCTAGGTATCTTCACAATTTATTGATTCCAATTAATAAAAGTTGCATTCTTACTAAATTCAAATTCCTTCATTTTATTGAAAAATCTTCTACGATATATTTTTAAGAAATGCCGATTCATTCTCACTAGCTAATAAATTAATAGCTCAGCTGAATTGACTCAAAACAAAAATAATAAAATTGAACTTTATATTTTTTAACTGATACTCTTCTTCATTTTTTACATGAAAACGAATCAGCAAACACTGCAATACACCCAACAGCAGCCAGAGCCAACTTTCCCCAGGAACTTTCGTTACAACTTCTACTGGATACAACCATGGGTGAACTTCGCAATAGTTTTATATTCATATTTCTTTATTATTGTGTACTGTAATAAGAATTCGTGCAATTTTAATTCTAATAATAAAAAATATATGGTTATAATCGTGTTTTACTTCATAATAAGATGTATTTTTTGTTCCATAAATCCAAAATTATAATTTTTCGTTTTCTTTTTAACTTAAAATATTTCAAATTTTATCTATCACAGAACATAACCCAATGGATTATATCCATCTAAGTATGTTGAGTGAAGAATAAAATGTTTGAATCATTTTAAGTAAAAAAGAACGAAAAATTATAATTTTGAAAACTTAGTAGTGGTTTATTAGAAAGGCCGAGTTTGAAAAACCCGCGCTCATCGACCCCTACCGCCATCTATATAATAAATCTTGAACAAATTTTCAATTATTAGTTATCTTCTTTTTTTTAACTCAACTATTTGCAACCGCTACGGACGCGCTGAAAGATGAGTAAAATTTTTCACTGTTGAGTGGCCCATCTTTAAAGGGTATGGTCTGTGCCGAACGCCGACTGACCCAACAGAGACACCCGACCATTTTCGATTTCCGCGATCCTGCATTGCATAGATCCTGCCGAGAAACCTGTGACTGACTGCAATCGCAATCGAAATTCATGCGATATGCGATCGCCGCTCGTTGCATTCATTCTTTATTTTATTTAAAACATTTAAAAAGGCGGGTAAATTTTAATACAGAATGCTTAAACAAAGAAAAATTAGTAATTTGTGGAATTTTTATTCTGAATTAGATACTTTTGCAAAATGCAATATTTATGTCGAAAACTGTCTTATAGAACCAACACAACATAAGGAGTTATTATAGAATTTACAATACCTAATGATTGTAACACCCAAATCCTATGATTCATCATTACTGATTGTCTCCTGTATGTTCTATGTAAATATAAATATAACATTTTGTATGTAGAATTTTAGAAATGTAGAATCACAATCGCAGGTTGCAATCGCAGTGATTGAAGAATCGCAATCACAGTTTTAACTGCGATTGAGAAATCGCGGTTTAGCTCATCTCTAAAGAAGAGTACCTTTTCTTTAGCTTAGTGTTCAAGGAATTGAAATTAATTTTTTTAACTCCTTATCATACCGGATGTTAAAAAATGTAAGCATTAAAATGTATAACCTAGTCCGCCCCTGGTAAACTAAACAAGCTAATTATTTTTTAAGGGTAGTATTTTAAGAGATTCTTACTACTGTTTATCATATTAAATTTTCATTAAATTATATTACGTCGTTTGAAAGTTATTAAAGAAAAATTTGATTTCCAATGGCGTCCTTTTAGAGGCCGTATATCCATAGGGAAGGCCGCTAGGAAAAAAAATTATGGGAACTTGTCATCTTATTTTTTAATGTCCTATCTGAATCCGAGAGACCTCCCACATTTTCCCGGACACCCCGCGAGTCATAGTCGCCTCGACGCTACTAAGTGAACGACAGATGAACCTGGATAATTTGTAACTATAGTTGGACCCGGTAGGTGGCGCTGGTGTCGAGATCCAGGTATCTACTCACAGAATCTACTGGTACCTATATTTTATTTTTCTGTACCTAGTAAGAAAAGTATAGGAATCATGATTTTTTTTTTTTACATTTCGACGGACCTTTACGTTTTTAGGTCCCCCGATTCCTTTTTGAATTGGCGATGATAAAGGGGAAAAATGGATAAAGACAAAAACACCAAATTTTAAAATTAAACTTTAATCCATCCTGCAGTGAGATGATTAGATAGTGGGCTTAGTCAAAGCATCTAGGAGGGAGGCATTTTACTGCAGGTCATTTTTCTACTTCAAGGTATATTATTACAGTTATGTACGATCAGAGAAGAAAATTAAAAATTGTTTTGTTTTGTCATATTTATGATTTCTATAAAATTGGAATTTTTTAGTATTTTCATTGACAATAAAGAGAGGAAAAATGTTTTGTATAAAATAAATGTAGACATTTTTTATCTGAAATTCATATTGTAAACACTTTTTGATTAGATGGGCCATACTCAATATATTTGCTAATTTTACAGGAAAGTCGTGTGTTGAGTACATCAGATAGAAGTAGAAAATATCTTTATTGGGGAGAATTCCAAATAACTATTTTTTATTTATTTATTTATTCTAAGTAAGAAAATACAAATGCAAATGAGAACATCACAATATTAATAATCACAGTGTACGTGTAATTGAGCTCGAGCTTACGCTATATGAGCTCTCCAGGCCAACATAAATTATTTAGAAATATAGAAAACAACAAAAATAGAATTATAAAAAAACATTATTAACATGTAGGAAAAAGAAGAATTACAAGATATCTAAAAGAACTAAGTTCTTAAGTATTTAAACTTTAAAAATTTATTAAGTAATTAACCTTGAAGAAACCTGCAAATATTAATTTCTTTAATTGTGTCGCAATGGAAGTTGTTTGTAGACCAAGACAATTTTTCATCTATTAATAGTCCAAGATATTTTATACAGTCAGTTTTATTTAAAAGTTCATTACCAATAGATAATTCAATTTCTTGCCATTCCCTATCATTAGAAATGACTGGAATCTTTTGGTCCATATTAACAATAATACATACTTTTTATCTTTATGGACCGATTTTATAATAAATATTAACAGATCCATCTTATGGAATTAACTGTCCCATTAGTTAATGCATTTATTAATATTAATTATGAAATTGGTACTAAATAAAATAATACACTGTGTGTATCTTTATAAATACCTAGGTCTACCTATGTATAAAAAAACTAATTTATTTTATTTTGTTCTATGGCAGACTAAGGGTTGCCAAGTATATGTGGCACGTTTGGATGGCCTTTTTGGTGGAATATAAACCTAGGATAGGTATGAGTAAAAACATTCATGCAATTCACCAGAAGCTATTAATGTATATATTTTAGTTTTAATAAAAAATTAAATAATAATACTATACAGTCCATTTATTAACCTAACATCTTTGCAGTCCATTATTTTATGCCAATGTTTTCAGGGTACTGCCTTTTTGGAGTGATGTTGGGGTTTGTTTCTATGGATAATCATCTAGTTCAGCAGTTATTTGGTTTGTTTTCAATTTTATACTGTGTCAAATAGATGTAATTTTAATTGTTTCATATAGTAACTGATTGAATGAGTTATGCAGTGGATTGTTGGGGTCGCAAAACACATTGTGGAAGCCTGTTCTGAAGCTTGTTTGAAGTAGAATGTGGCCATATTCAATGAGTAGTCTACATATCATTTGATATTATATTTTTTGCTATTTGGATGTTGATTCTCTCTTTTGTAATATCAGATATTTTATATTTGTTTCATATTGTTTCTTCTATTTATTAATTTGAATATTAAGTGTGTCCCATTTAAAATTATTAAGATTTGAAATATCCACATTTTAAGTGTATACAAACCTTCCAAACACATCTACTAAAAATCACAAGGATAGGTACATATTCATTTCTAAATATTTTAAACTATTGTTAATAATATGACTGAACAATTAAATTTTATGGTTATTATGGGTTATTTGCCTTTACAACAGTATAAAGTTAAGATACAACCATTAGTTAAACAAATACCTACTTCCAGAACAAATGATTTTAGGATTTTAATGCCCATTTTACTGTCATTCAAACCATTAAGTATTTTGTTATTTCAAAAATTCAATTAGGTATATATATTTGTTAACAAAAATTAATGTTGATCATGTAATATGATAAAGTTAGCAATAGAAAGGAGCCTAATTCTTGAAATCAAATATTCAAACATTCACCTGCATTCACCATAGTTATTTTCTATAAAATTATCCAACAAGTACAAATAACTAACTTTAAAATATTTAAAAACTATATGATTCCAAAGACGTGTCATATGAAAATTCAAAACCAGTAAATGTATCAAAATTATGGGACTCAGATACTTACCCACATTAAATTTAAAGCCCTAGGGAGTTGTAGTGAGATATCAAACAAAACATTTATTGTATCTGTTTTACTTACATTAAAGTAGAATTTTAATCACCGTTATCAGTGGATTTACTAATCATCATGTCAAATAATAAGTATGTTGTAAAATACACAAAAACAACAAACTAACCTTTTTATTCATCGACTGGTATGTGGGCGACACAGGTGATATATTTCCAGATCTCCTCAGCGGATATTTTTCCATAATCACTCTTCAAACTGCAACAAATAGACACGTTCAATATTAATACTGAAACCCTTAAAATTCTGCTCTATTTCTAGTTCAATGCACCAAGTGAAAGCAATTTTTCGTCAAGAATCATGCATACTCAATAAATATTTACCATTTTATATATTTTCTTGTTTTAATATTTTAAGATTAATAAAAAATTCTTTACTTAAATAGGTCAATATAAATTTTGATCTATAATTAGAATTTAATACTATTATTTCTAAATATCTCTGATGATGATTAAAGATTGACGACTTGACGAGTTGTCACTGTCAATGTCAATGCCATATTTAAAACGTCAAATTAAAACAGGTGACATAAATTTGTAACCTAAGGAACGAGACCATCTAGTAAAAAAGAAGATCCGGCAGCCACCTGGGCACAGAATAACCACTATTAGTATTCTGTGACCTGGGCTTGAAACAATGTATATAAAAGTCTTTGGGTAATATAAAAGAAGACGTATTTCCCCTTATTTCGTCGGGGAACGTGTTTTTGACTCTCTGCTTAGCAACAAATTCCTGTTTTTTCTTTATATTTAAGGGATATAAAAATGGCTTTACGTGCACAGTTTGAAAATAACAATGAAATAGGTGTATTCGCCAAACTAACCAATGCCTATTGCCTGGTCGGGATAGGCGGTTCAGAAAATTTTTACAGGTAAACAACTAACATTGCACAACATTTAATTTGCTAATTACCTTCGGTTGTTTTAGTATATTTGAGGGTGAATTAGGTGAAACCGTTCCAGTGGTGCATGTTTCTTTAGCTGGACTTAGAATTATTGGACGTATGTGTGTTGGAAACAAACATGGTTTGCTTGTTCCAAATTCGACTCTTGACACAGAACTCCAGCATATTCGAAACGCCCTACCTGATACAGTGAAAGTACAAAGAGTTGAAGAAAGACTGTCAGCACTAGGAAATGTAATAGCCTGCAATGATTATGTAGCTTTGGTCCATCCTGATTTAGACAGGGTAAGTTTTAGATATTTTGATGTTATATATAATTATTACATCTTAAACAATTTAGGAAACAGAAGAAATTATAGCAGACACCCTAAAAGTTGAGGTTTTCAGACAAACAATAGCCAGTAATGTTTTAGTTGGGTCTTACTGTGTTCTTAGTAATCAGGGTGGTTTGGTGCATCCAAATACAACTATAGTTGATCAAGATGAATTATCTTCATTGTTGCAAGTTCCTTTAGTGGTAAGAGCTTAATTCTGTAGTAATTTTTGTTGTTTATATATAATTTAACTTTATTTTAGGCAGGAACAGTAAACAGAGGTAGCGAAGTGGTGGGTGCAGGTTTAGTTGTTAATGATTGGTGTGCATTTGCTGGAATGGACACCACATCCACAGAGATGACTGTGATTGAATCAGTGTTTAGGCTTAATGATGCTGCCCCCTCAAATATCACATCAGATATGAGAGCAAGTCTCATAGAAAGTATGTCATAAGAACACAACAATAACATCAGTAATTAACAGGGGGCTCGAGGCCTAGTCTACAGGGAGGCTACTTTTGAAAGGTACACCCTATATACTTAATACAAATATATTTCTATTAGAATAGGAAAACCAGTAATATTACATTGAATTGTAATGGAAATATGTACATATTTGACCTAAGTATATAGGGTGTGCCAGCATCCTTGTTGACTAGGTCACAAGCCACCACTGGTAATTAAGTGAAATTTATGTATTATAAGCATCCCTAAATATTTTTGTTTAATTAAAAAATCAATTTTGAAACATGATTTATTTATTGGTACAAACATTCTACAAACTTACATTTTTCTATTTGCGCAGTAAAAGTATTACAAAATTGTTCTAATCAATTTTTTCCTGCAAAGGTTGAAAATACATAATCAACCTACCTAAAATGGCAATATTGGCACAGAAAAACGAAACGCTCTGTATCCAAATGTACAAAAAAGTATTCTGTCCCTGAAATTCAAGCAAATATGCTGGCAACAGCCAGACCAATTGTGCCACATACCAAACGCCTAGCAGTATGAAAGCCACTTTTGTGGACAATCTGATTTGCCACAAGCACAATGGCAACACTGCCATCACCCACACGAAATACTGTGAGGTCAAGACACTGTTATAAATCACAAACACTATGGTTTGTGTCAATATTGAGAAATTCAAAGAAAACTTATTTAAACCATATCGTATTGAAAAAACGGACAGCAGTACTAATTGTGGTAGAACCATTAAGGCTTTTTGCCAGTAGCCAATGTTTTTCACCCAAGCTGTTAAATATTGTAAATAGAAATACAGTGAAAAGTTGTGCTTGGGATCTTTGCGAACAAAATGGTACAAATATGTCTCAAATAAAAATCTGTAACCAAATAAACTATAAAACAACCAAGTTAGAAACGATAATGATAGAATACAGCCACTCACCAATTTCAACTGTTCGAAATTTGGAATTAAATACAAGAGATATTCTTGTCTAAATATAGTTTTTCTTTCAGTCTTTACTATACCATGTGGTACTAACTTATGTCCTCCCATGGATGAACTCTGCACTAGAGTATTCTCTATATTTTTTATCTGTTTTGCTCCATCATTAGCTTTAATAGCATTAAAATCTGCTTTTATTTTTCTACGATCTTCGGTAGTATAAATTGAGTATTTACTCAAAAACATAAAGAATGTTAAACTATATATTATAGGATATAGCCGGAAATGGACAGAAATGCCGTGAATTAAACCGGCGGTAAAAGAATATCTCTTGCATTGCAGAAAATAGAGGGTTAAAACCACCAAAAATCCTGCCAAAGTATCGCAATTCCCTCTAGTACCAATAGCTATAGTAATAGGGTTGTACAACCACACAATCATAGCCAAATCTGCGCTATAACTGGCATAATTCTTAGATTTTAATTCCGCTCTAGTTAAATTCATATGCTGTTTATTAGATTGACGCAGTTTTTTCTTATTTTTATTGTTGAATTTCTTTGACTTGCTGCTACCTTCAATTTTAGCTAACTTATTGTCCTTCTGTCTATAACAATCATATTCTTTGATATTATTTTTTACAATTAAACGAATTAGAACTGCTACTATTATATCTATGCAACAAAATAGTATTTTACCAAAACTATGATGAAAAAGTATGTTAGGAGTTAATATTATGGCCACTAGAGGGCTATAGCGGTATGTATGTCTGTCATAAGGCGAACGGCCTTCAAGTAAATGCCTGGAAGCATCTGTAAACACTTTATAATCAATATCTGTGTATTTTAATTTGGATATTTCATCATGGTGTACACCATAAGCTACTAAAATTAACCTAAAAACTAAAGACACAAGCAGATGTGTCTTATAATCAATATTCACAATTTTTTCCCAATAAGAACCCATATTTGTGCACTTATTTCTAAATTTTTGTTTTTAAAGAGTTGGCAGCCTTCTGTAAACACCCTCTAAAGTCAGTAAATTCTTTTTTGCAATCATCCAAAGCGACATTGTCCCGTTTTAACACACAAGTTGCATATTGTGTAGCTTCCTTGCCACACTTGGCTAGTAAAAGAGGGTATTGTCTATATCTCTGCTTAGCCTTTTGTACTGCCTCCATTTTTTCTAATTCTTGCTCAATCTGGACTTATGAGTTCTAATGAGTTCATTTAAATCTTGTGGTTCAGAAAATATAAGATCATAAATCGGTTTTGAGAAGAATACAAGCAAAGCAAGGGTAGTTGAAGTTCCAACAAACAGTCTTGGATATCTATAAATGAAACTACGATCTTTGGCACGAATTCTTTCATTAATATCGTAACTAATTCGATTTTTTTTCATTTTCGGGATTTGTAGAGTCCATACCTTGACAAACAAAACTTTTATCTTTCCACTTTTTACAGCACTCTCTCATATTATTAATCGCCTCCCAGCATTTCGCTTCTTGGAAGTTATTTTCTTAAAAATAAAAGTACATATTATGTAATGGGGTGAAATGTTGATTAAGATTCTCTTACCTCTCAAACAGGTTTGAATTTTACAAGCATAAGGTTTGCAAGGATCTTTCGCTGGCATGAACTCATGTAAAAGAAACAAAAAAATATTTTTTTTTCTAAATTTTGCACCTCGTTACAAAACTGTCCCTCCTCTTTCTTTGTCAAAGTCAAAACTTAAAAAATTGGCTATTTATTCAAAGCGGTAAGAAGAATTCATTGATAAATACCTTATAAATGAAAGACCGTATTTAACTTAAAAAAGAAGAAACTAATTTTTAATTTGACAACTGACATCAAAATATTTATTATAGAATTTTCAATTTCATATAGGTATTTTCAATTATTTAACAATTTGTACGAATTTTAGAATATGGATAAGTTAACGCTAATATCAGGAACGTTGTTTATGGCAGCAGATATATTTGCAATCGTTAGTCTGGCTATGCCAGACTGGATAATTACAGATGTTGGAGGTAGTATCCAACAACAGAATAAACATTAATTTTTATTGAAAGGATATATTTATTTTTAGGAGATACTAGGTTGGGATTAATGTGGACTTGCATGACATTGTATAATCGTCCACAAGTATGTTTTACACCCGACCTTCAACCAGAATGGTTACTTGCTCTTGTATGCATTTTTGTAGGATGTATTTGTATTACCACAACTATAATATTATTAGCATCTTCACATTGGGATAGAAATGTAGTACCATATGCTAGATGGGTAGGATTTACAGCAAGTGAGTCAAACACTAAATATATTAATTTAGTAAAGTATTTTAAATAAAAGGTGCATGGCTTATTATTCAAAATAACAACCGTCTATATCTTTTACAATATACCATAAGCTTTAAAACAATAACAATATAAAAATAAATAAATCTGATATCCCCTCTGTATATGTCCTCCCTGAATTTATGATTCCTATGTGCAGTAAGTGCTCTTCTAAAAATTTTTGCTTATACTGCCTTTGTAAATTGACCTACTAGGTTTTTCTTCTAGTAAATGTATCAAAGTAAGTCCTTTGTTTTCTATTTTCTTACAATAATATGTTTAGATCTCTCAGATTTAGTGTGATTTCCAGCAGGTTTAATTGCTCCTTGATTGTCAATTCGAACAAATACAAATCCATAAATATTCTTTGTTGATTTCTTGATTAAGTTTCTTAAGGAAAGTAAATTATGTTGATGTCTCATTCAAAGCAATAAATTCAGCTTCTGCACACAGAGCAACAGAATGTTTTCTGCTCATCCATTTAACTGATTCTTCCTTCAACTATGAATACATCTCCAGGGTAAGATTTTACAATCTACTCTATTAGCTCCCCAATCCGCATCACAATAGGCTTTTGCATCTTTGTTTTCCATATGAATTTAAAAATGATATACTACACCTATTTTACATCTTCAAGTTCTGCTTTTTGCTTATGCCGTCTCTTTTATTGGTTATAGGATTATGAGCCCACAACCTGTTAGTTTTTAGTTAATTTTGAAATGAAAGTGGAATTAGGTCATATGCAATTTAAGCTGATGACATATATTTTACAATATACTAGATGCTTTAAAACTATTAAAGATAATAACAATATATAAGTATATCTCTAACAGAATGATGTATAAGGGTATCTAACATTGCTTTTTTCCTAGTGGTTCTCTTCTGTCTGGCTGCAGTTATATTCCCAATGGGATTCCACGTAGATGAAATAGGGGGACAGCCCTACCAATTACCAGGCAGCCATCAAGTAGGCATCTCATACATCCTTTTTATTCTCTCACTTTGGATTACGGTAATCTCAGAATTGTTTGCAGGAAAAGTATGTCTACCACACTTTTAGTATTGCAAGATGTTTGCTCTACTGATAGTTCTGTTGGCTTTGGTGTCTTTTGTTATATTTTATTTTAAGGAGGGCATGACTATAAAAGATGTATTTTATAATTTTATTCTTTGTTTATTCCTACTCATTTCACTGTTGGTATGCATTTTTATTTTATTTACTATTTTAGTTATTTTTTCATTATCTTGTATTTTTGCTTACTCCTTATTATTTGTACGAGATTAAATGGTTTCCAATCGTTTACTAAATATCTGTGATATTCATTATTGACTGTAATGATTAGTTAACATCCAATTCACAAAGTATTTTTGTTACCCACAAATAAAAAAAAGACAAAAACAACAATTCAAAGAAAAAATAGAGTTTGATGAAGGCCTGATTTTTCAATCACAATTTGAATTGTTACTGTGAAGTTAAATTTAAGTAATTATAAATTAAATATTCCTTAATTTTAAGATTAACATAATTTATTGAATAGTTTGTGAAATAACGCCCAACTCTAGGATATTCATTATACTGATATTTCTGTCTTAAGGTTTTACATGTGGGTAAATTTATAGATGCTGTATGAATTAGGCTATAAGTGTTGTAATAATAATACTTATTTTAGGTAGGTATCTGTACTTTTTTGTTATTACTTTTAGATTTTAAATGGTTTGTCTCGAATTTTATTGGTAATAAATCATTAAAGGGAATCCCTAGACTTGTTTTTATTGCAAAGACCTGAAATACATTTAAACCGGTTTAACACATTCTCTGCTAAATCAAATTTATGGTTAGCAGACACCGGTGTCTAACTTGGCCTTGAAGAAGGAAAATATGTTTTCTCAACATCACGCATAAGAGGACAAACAAACATTTTTTATATAAGAATGTAGGTTTTCAGTTATTATTAATTCGATTCGGAATAAATCAAACGTTTATTTCGGCACTCCCTGTGTACCAGAAAATAACCACCGTCGCTTCGTCAACCGACCGCATGAAAGCGAAACTGAAAATGATATATTTACAACTGATTCACGGCTTTCGTAGGATCGAGGCGATGTAGCACAGAGAGACACGAAGTCTTGTATAAAATTCTTTGGATTTTCACAATCCCGATGGAAGCGATGTATGCTGAATTCTGTGGGAATTCGGATAGCTCGTTTGGGAGTTAGTTTGGAACATGGAAATGGAATGACTTTCGAAGAGAGTAAAAAAACGAGGAGGCGACGTGGAGTGAGGGTCGTCCGGATTTGAAAGTAATTCGAGTTTCTTTTTAAGACGATTGAATAGTCGTTGAAATTGTGATACACTTAAATCAACGGTGAATTAAACCTCAAAAAAAAAAGAAAACTGTGCGCCTTTCCCAATAAACAAAAAAAATTAAGGAAATCAAATTAGACCTTACACTCCAAGTTTGACTAGGGCGTCTTTTAAGGAGATTTGAAATTGTAATACACTTAAATCAGTTGTCAATCCAATCTCAAAAAAAAAAAATTCCAATGGTTTCCCAAAAGGAATAAAGTGAAATTAATTTTGAATATGAACCAACACTCTTCGGCTATTGAACAATGTGTTTAACGGATGTCCAAACAATCTAGTAAAACGATTATAAAAGAAAAACTACCTTCAATTTCAGGGTGGCTAACGGTCACTAACAAAATTATCTTAAACGTTCACTGTGGGCGACGGTTGCAGCAGGAGAAGAGAGCCTACGGTGGTCAGAAGTCAAGAGAGAGAAATTTGTTTCGCCCGTCGCAATTTCGGAGTGGGGAAACCACCTCCAGTTTTGACTGTTTACAAGTGACGTCCTTCTGAAACATTGGCGAATAAACCTATATAATTTATATGAAATCGAATCTTCAAATCCGAATTTGGATTTTGGTAAATACGGAAATATTTTAAACTACGAGAGCTCAATTATTTAAAAATGGGAATTCCTGGGAAACAAAAATACGGGGCTCTTCGAAACGTTTCCAGGCGGAAATTAATTAAAATATACATTTTACAATTAACTAAAAATAAAATCACAGAAGATACAATTGATTACAGGCTTTTAAAGTAAGTATTTCCCTTATTGAGGCACGCTTGCCAGCGGCACGAAAGTGCTTGAATTCCGTTTAGCGTCCCGTTCTTATTAAGTATCCAAATGTGTCTGGTCATTTCTCTTTGGAGCTCTTCCAACGTCGGATAAAGCACCCCCGAACGGGTTCCTTTAGCCTACGGAATTGAGGTGGGCTCGGATCAGGACTATTTGTCGGGTGGCGGAGCTGGTCCCAGTCGCATTTTTCGACAAATTCGATATCGGTGCATTGATTGATGTACGTGCATGCATTATCGTGCAAAATCGACACATTTTCCTTGACACAGTTTTCGAGATTTCTGTGTACGCCTCAATTTCTCTTACCGTGATTCTTCGTCGAGCAACATTGCAATGATTGAAGCGTTTGTGTTGTCAGCTGTTACAGTAGACGTCTTCTACGAGAGTCATCTCGCATGTCGTGCTCCCAAAGTCGGTTCCGTCGGAAAATTGGTAAAAACCACATTATCGACAAAATTTAAAATTTTTCGATACTATAGAGACATTTTAAAAACATGTGTATTAAATTTTTTGTAAATTGCTGAAAAATATTCAAAATTTCATAAAAACCCTCTCATGTGTTGCATCTATCAACGCATCTCGTTGTTGTTGTTGTTGTATCTCAACCCAAATATCCCCTAATTTTCAACACTCTTCGAGGCTTGTATGCGAAAATGGGACACCTAAACCTGTCATTATCTGACGGACTATAATACGAGACGGCAACAGTGTGCCGTTCTAGCAAAGTGGGTACTAATATGGGCTAAACCGCTAAGTCATTGGGTTGTAATGTTATTGAATACTAAGACAAACCCAGAAAAATATTCCGTAGCCAAACAATAAAAAAAAAATCATTTATAGTAGCTAAAAATAATAAAAAGCTAAACTCTTGCTAAACGGTTTAATTTGCTTTGAAGAGCTGTTTCACAAAAGCCATGTCACAACATTTAAACATTTAAACTTCTATTTCTTCTTTTTAGACTGAGCACTCTTCTTGCTACCTAACGATGTGGTGTCTTTGTTATCGTATTGAGTGTCTCGAGTCTCCTTTCGAGGTATAGGCTTCAGTTCGGGCCCTTTTGGTGTACAAAGTTCCAGCTCAAGAGTTTGCTTCTTGTCGGCCTGTTAAAAAAATATCAAAACTTTTTATCTATGCAAAGAAAGTCTACTTCTATATAAATATGTGAGGCCCAAAGACGAACAACTACACCAATGTTGTCTACAAAAGAGGATTTGCAAGCATTCACGATGTTATCCGCGTAGTTGTAAAATTATTGTAGAAGGGTCTATGTACAAGGATTTTTTGTGGTTTTAATACGGAATTTATTTAATAACAGATTCTAGAATGTAAAAAAAAACTTTCAAAATTACATTAAGAACGTATATCTGCATTATTAATGCCAGTTATTACCAGTTTAATGCCTTTTCTGGTTGCAACTATTGTAGTTGAAGATGGTTTCCAGGAAAATACACCATTTATTTTGCAATGTGGCTACATTGTAAAGCAGGATGAATAAAAGGATTAGTCTAGTAGTTCGTCTTTAGTAGGGACCAGACTAGGTTACGTTGTATTTATTGCAAATAAGCCATTGATAAATTATTATCAAAACAAAAAGGTTTCTTACCCCCTCAGACTTTTTGCCAATCCTCAGAACGAACAACTCCTTGTTGGGGTCTGAGAATTCGGCGACTTGGGCCCCATCGGAGCCTATGCTGACCGGGGGATTGACAACCACTTGATTACCGGCTCCTTTGGTTCCGGTGGATCCCATTTTGAAGGCGAAAGGAAGGTGTTCGCCTTGTTGCTCAATGCCCGGACTCATCCTCATGTCCATGCTGTTTCCTGAATATAAAATATTAACAAATCATAGATATTGATCAATTAAAACATTTAACAGATACGTGCGATTACTATTAAAATAGTTGACTGTACTGATGTAAATTGTTCGACTACTACAAACTAGGGTAACTACCAATATTTAACCATGGACCACTTGCTAAACTAAGATAACAAATCCATTTATAGTAATCGAATTAGGTCAAAAGGAGTTTATTATACCTTCTATGCTTCAATTGCTTTCTAGGTTAATGTGTAACAAGTACCCATTAGAAGAATATTTCTGTTTTTTAAGTTACTGTTGTATTCTAAAAAGAAAGGTAAGTGGACTTAGTAGAAATAATTAGGTAATAAGGTAATGGTCATTTTTGAGCAGATGGTTAATTTCTGGGGATATAATAAATTTGAGATTTTCTATATCATCAACCCACTAGTTATTCTTAGTGACATCATTAAAATAAGTGTGACGCCAGTGCCGCAAAGTGCGCAATTACAACCACAAAATCGAAAAATAAGCACTGCATTTCTTGATATTTTTTGGCCTGAAGAATCCCCAGAAAAAAAAAAGAAATCAATAGAAAAGAAAAACTGCCCTACGCACCTACTTCTCTAAAGTGGTTGCAGTACCATGAAGAAAAGCAGAAAAGATAAAGCTGATAAAGAAAGGATAAAAAATGAGAAAGCTTCTTTAAAGTGGTTACAAGAGGAAAAACAAGTTCAGAATAAAACAGCTAAACCAAAAATATTTAACAAAAAACAAAGAAAAGCAACATATGCTGAGAGTTCAGGAAGTGTCCATGATGAATGGCAGGATAGTGGATCCAGTATAGATGATATATCAACTGAACATTTTAGTAGCGATGATGAAGAACCGCTAAGCAATGTATCTAAAAAAATTAAGTTAGATGCAAACTAATTAAAAAATTAGAAACACCAACCACAATAACCGCTGGAAACCGCATAAAATTTAAGTTTTCCAAAGCTGTTTTTGAATAATAGAAAAAATCATTTATGTTTGTTTATCAATAAGTTTTGTTTTTTTTTTTGGTAATAAATATTCATAATAAATATATTTTGTTTTTAAATAATATTTTTGTTTTATTTTATTAGATGGTCAACCATTGGATATATTAATGGTTAAAAACTGGTCCCCGCTGGTCAATATTTGGTGATTTGTGGCTTTCTTTTTACAATTTTTTTTTATCAAGAATAAAATGACTAATAATTTTAACATAATAAACAATACTAAAAACATTTTTTACTTAAAGCTAATCGTTTAAGAACGACAAGCTATTTTTCTAAATAAAATTCTTAGCCGGTCAACTACTGGTGCCCCCACCCTATCTGGGGTTTATCCTAGAAAAGAAACTCGTCTGGAAACTCCAACTAATCCAATCGTACGAGAGACTTCAACGGATTGTCAGAACAAATTTGGCTGGAATCATAGGGGTAATGTCAACCACACCGACGGGATACATGGAGACCATGCTGGATCTACACCTCTCCACATTTTGCTGGAAAAGGAGACCAGGTTCCTGATGGTAGTTAGTCAATTCATATAAATGCAACGTAGTTTTCAATTCTAATGAACTTTTTTTTATGTTATATTGTCATAAATAAAAAAGTACTTTACTCTTTCATACAATTCTTATTTTAAGTATATCAATGTTCAAGTGTTGATAAATATCGACTTGCACATTAAATCCAAAAAGAATAAAAAATTAAACTTTATTTTGAAGAAATTCTCGTTTATTATTATTCCAAAGATGAGTTACGTTACAATACAATAACAATTCATATACAATAATGATCAAAAGTATACCTCGTGATGTAAATATTTAAGCAAAATCAGGCATTTTTCGTATACAAACGACATCACTACTATCAAATATAACAATCCACTTTTTACTTATTAAATACATTTCATTCCGTACACAATAAAACATAATATTTAAAAAACTAATACATTAAAGAAGTTGACCCTAAAGGTAGATTTTTAATATCTTTATCCTGACTTTATATAAATTTTGTTGGCTTTCATTCTTTCAAAAGTATTTTTTAATAGGAAAAATTTATCTAAAAATGATTAACTGGAAATGCTGAAAAATTGATATTTCATATTTCTTATTAGAAATCTATTAAATGTTACCTATCTAACATTCAATACCCAGTGGTGGTTTTGTGAACTGCTATTCTCATTTTTATTTGGGCATGTGACGCGTACAATGAGGGACAAATGACGCGTGACAAGTGACGTAAGAATGGAAACAAATGACGTATAAAGGGGAACAAGTGACGTAATAAGGGGGAACAAGTGACGTAAGAAGGGGGAACAAGTGACGTAAGAAGGGGGAACAAGTGACGTAAGAAGGGGGAACAAGTGACGTAAGAAGGGGAACAAGTTACGTAAGAAGGGGAACAAGTTACGTAAGAAGGGGAACAAGTGACGTAAGAAGGGGAACAAGTGGATTTATAAGAGGAACAAGTGGATGTATAAGGGGAACAAGTCGATGCATAAGGGCAACAAGAGGATGTATGATGGGAATAAGTGACGTATCAAGGGGAATAAATCGATGGTCCATATAACAATAAATCAAATATTTTAGTTGTTAACATAATTTACAAACCCTTATAATTATCAAAAATAGCTTTATTTTGGTTCTGTTTGTGCCTATAATTTAAAATTATCGATTTGTTGTTTTATTGAGTTGATAAAACTAAATAGAAACTTATTTAAATGCTCAAAATTAGACTGGTTGCTGTCTGTACCTGTCCCGTCAAAGTGATGTGTAAAGGGGAACAAGTGACGATATGTCTGGGGATAAGTAATGAACTAGATTTAAATGAGACAAGTGACAAACAAATATGTGACTTTATACGATGATGAGCTTTTCTAATGACAGTTCAACCGATTATCAGACGAATCATAAATGAAATGGTTTAAACTAGAATGACTACAAGTATAAACAGCATTCATGTGTATTTTGGAATAATAATTGGCATTTAAACCATAAAACAAGTTCGTAATGAGTGATTATATGATTGCGACCAATATGATAAAATAAACGATACAAATGTTACAAGTAGATACAAATGAGACATCCAATGATTAAGAAAAGCTAACAGTTCACTAACACACCAATGGAAAAAGGTTGCATTTTACCAGCAAAATTTCAAATTGAATTAACACATTTCGGACACACTAATTAATACCAGCTTTATTTCTTCTTCCCGGGTTGTCCCATTATGCAAGTGCAGCTTCCTCCGTCGCCGGGACCATTGCCATCGACCGATTCGATTTTGTTTCTTCTATGCACCCGGATAGTGAGAGAATTTCCACCCATAGACGCTCCAATCTCTTCATAATTTCCGTCAGGCGCTTTGCCAGGACAACAAGGAGAACATTCGGCGCACGGATTACAAGGATTGCAAGGATTACACGGGGGTTTCGGGCAGCAAGATGGCAGCGGGCAGCAGGAAGATGGTTTGCAACAACCCGCTGGCGGACAGCAAGAAGGCGGCGGACAGCAAGAAGGTGGTGGGCAGCAAGAAGGTGGCGGACAGCAAGATGGTTGCGGCGGGCACGGCGACGGGCATTTCGGCGGGCAACAACTCGGTTTCGGTCCGCAAGGCGGCGGGCATTTCGGATTCGGCGGGCATTTGGGAGGCGGCGAACACAGCGGGTACGACAGTCCGCCGCAATCTTTGCACGGCGTAGGGCAACCTATAATGGGTTAAAATTCGGTTTTACTGGAAATGCTTTGAACGGTAAAATTATGGAAAAGTTGGTTTGAGAAAAATTGATTTTAAGTGTTCAACATTGTGAACAGTACAGTACAGTCGAATAAATAACAGGTAAAACTGCTCTTTTTGCTCCATGCCTTGGTTTTTGTTCAACCATATATTTGGGAACGCTAGATGAAGCAATTGTCAAAGTGTAATCGTAAAATGCAAAACGTAGATATATAATAGGTAGCATCTTTTTAGCATACCGAAGTTCTGTCTTTTATTGTACCTCAATGTAGTCCATCTTTTATAAATATTCAAAACTCAAAAGAGACAAATTCTATAGAATCGATATCCATAAAGCCTCGTCATAATCTTAGTCAAAATATTTCAAAATTCTTAATTAAAGCAGACAGATGACGTAGCCTGATCCTGATAGTACCTGGCAAATGAATCATCAAACGAGATAGCCGAGTAAGGCAGATTCAGTTAACACAGTTACCGAAAGGACAGTCGCCTAAATATACAACTTGGCAGCTGACTAACTGTAAAAGGTATTTAAAATACCTATCACATGCACAGCAGTGTGGAACCAATCACGGATTGGATGAGTAACCGAGCTCGGGATCATCTAGATAGTAGGGACATCCAAATGGTGACAATAAGTTCATGTGCAGTGCCGACATGCAAACAGAAGTGAAACCCAACGCAAATATAAGGAAGCCAGGCTGGAACCCAAGCGGGATTGGGGAGCCTGCCTAAACACTTCAGGCAGGAACATGAGATGCCTGTAGGGTGAAAAAAGATGCACAACAGAATTGATGAGCAAGGATAGGAAAAAAATAGAAATCATAGTCGTGGAGCGTTTCAAACAACAAAAATTAACATTATTGGTTTGGTACAAAAAGCAGAATACGGGTTCTGTGACAGATGGTGAACAAATGGTGAACAGTTGTCTACTAGAATATGTTATATGGTATTGAGCTAAAGAAAATTCCACAGTAGACATTTATATGAATGAATCGTTCTCAAAGTTAATAGATTTCATGAAAAAGACATGTAAAGAAAATAGTAATACCATTAAGATCGCTATGACCTATAGTCAAAGTAGACCCACTTCAAACCCTATGCTTAATAGTTTTGCTTGTGAAAACATTCTGTATGCAAGTTTCTAGTCCACAAAGCCAATATATTAGTACTAGTCGCCACTGTTAAAAGATGAATAAGCGGCTCACAGATGCCCTGAGGAGCGGGCGGACAAATATATCTACCCAGCATTTACCATCGAGACAGTAGCGGCCCACCAAATGGATATTTTTAAAAATGGTGACATCTAAAGACACTTCTCCACGACTTGTCGATCAGCAAGCTTTCTGAAGAGGCAGGTCTTATATGCCTCAAGAGGATGCGTACACTAAGTGATGTGGGGCTCTCCCACCCTTCCCCACCTTTAGATACAGAAGCAGGTTAAAGTATTATCCCACTGTCTCTTCATGGTTGTAAAGATTGAATCAGTCATATAACTGAAGAACCGATGTAAAAATACAGCCAGAAGTCTGACAAATGGATACAAATGAAAAAGAGGAACATCATTTAGAGCAGTGGTTCTCAAACATTTCTAAAAAGGTCCCTCCCATTTCTTCGTGTAGTCCCTACAAAAATCCTCAAAACCATATCCTACTTCCTCTTAGTGGCTTCTAAAAAAAAGTCTTCCAACCAAAATCAAGAATCATATAATCCTTCCTCTTACCGACTTCTAAAAAAATAAAAGATCCTCCAACCAAAATCATATATATAAAAAAAGGTCCTCAATCCAAGTCCCGTTGTAGCAATAGTAATGCTTTTTTAATGACTATTATTTTCTTCGCGGAGCCCCAGGGCTTCTCGGACCACACTGAGTAACGCTGATTTAGAGGATACGATACCAAATGGAAAACGTAGCACAAAATGGACCCAAATGAAGTAAAAAGAACTGAACGACTGCAGCACAAGGATGTATGGTCGTTAACAACAGACTGATGAATAAGAAGGAAATATGAACGGTCCTAGTCATACGAGCAAGTTTGCAGTTTCCAGTTATTTTTCTGACTTATTATTTATAAAATCAATTTTTCTTTATCCATTATACGTCTGAATGTAGATTCGTATACACAACTGCATATCTGTAGAATGAAAAAAGAAAGGGTAAATCCAGATTACTGGGAATCGAATCAAGATAATATATTAAAGGCTGGATTTGGTATTCTACGAATCTACAATCCTTTTTCCTGTATTAGATTTCCAGTAAAACGAATTTAACCCTATATAGGACATCACATTTTTTTGGAACTATTTAAGTAAACCGAATAAAGTAAAACATGTTTCTAAAGTAGGTCATGAAAACAATTATTCATGTGAACACTTAAATGAACATTTACTTTAGAAACAAATGTTTCAAATAAATCTACAATTAAATTATAATTCATTTAGCACCTAATAACGATTTAAATCAAATTACCTGGTGGTGGACACGGTGGTGAATAAGGGCAACATTTCGAACATCCGGGTGGGGGACATGGTGGCGGGCATGGCGAAGGAGGACAAGGGGAACAGCACTTGGGGCACGATGGTGGGGGACATGGTGGTGGAGGACAACCGCACTTAGGGCAAGGAGGTGGACATGGCGGTGGAGCACAGCACCTAGAAAGAAAGGATTAAAATTTGTATAATTTTTCGTCACATAATTTTTTCTGTACCCTCAATAAGTAAAACGTAAATTACTTCAGATTTCTGGAGAACCATATTTTTAACAATTTTTTAATATTTTTTTAAAATAATTTAAATAAATTATTCGAATTAAATTAAAACTAACCTGCTACACATTTTGAAGAAATAATTGTAAAAATTAACACAAAGATTTTGCCGATTTGAAAGAAATTTTTTCACTGATTAAAATTTCAAATGTTGACGTTCAATAAAAAATAAATAAAATTGTTTCCATGGCAGAATATTCACACAGGGTGTTTTATAAGGATATAATATAATTGCGCAGTGACAATCAGAATAATGTTACCAATGACATATATAGATTAATAGACTGCTCATCCATATATAAACAAGACGACGAAAAGCGGGTCATATTGCTTGGCTTGCCGAGTGCTCACCAGGCAGAATCGGTCTGGCCCAAATGAGTTTAAAACACATATTTCATCAAAGTAGGAATTTAATTAAAAAAAAATATATCTGTATGTTTATTTCAAGACAGGAGCTTGCGTTAGGTATTTTAAAAAAGGATTTTGAGTCGTAACGTCTAGTTTCCCAATTTTCAAAACATTTTAAGAGATTTAACCAATTTTGAACATAGATATAAACAATTTTACACTCATGAGTATATAACTAACTTTAGACCATGACTACTGTATAGTGGCACTACTCGGACACTTGTTTATTCTTTTAAAATTTATTTCGCATTATAAAAGCAGATATTATGCAAAAATTGAATGAACTTTTTAAAGATTTAAAGTTAGTAGCTTTTTGACATTCTAAAGTTTGTCCCTTTAGACAATTAAGGATTATTTTGGCGGTGAATGTGAATGATTTGATGATTAATAATAAAATTCCACCAGTGGAAATCTGATCAACATCATAGTAAAATGGACTAGGTACAAAGTGCAATCGTAGTTGACGTCAAGATCCGTGTACCTTAGCATCGGTAAGAGGGAAATAAAGATTCTGACTTACAATCACAAAAAGAACGTACAACTAAGCTCAGTCGATGTAAGTTAGCTCAGATTAGTGGTAAAAAGAAAGCGACTATTAATAAAAAGAAAAGTAATCCAGCTAAAACAAGAATTATGGCTACTGTCTTTAATAATGATATGTTGCCAGTACTAGTAGAATGTTAAGTGTTGAGTTATCTTCTTCAGGCAATGGATGTACGTATGCATAATTTAAAATGTTTGGTTAATTATTATTATTATATTTAATGTGTTTTTGCAGTTAATGAACATATATCTACTACTGAAGCAGATAATGAAGATTTGTGTGCTGCTGAATAGCTTTGCTTAATTTACAAAACTTTGTTTAAAAGCAGAAAATTGGGATCGATTTTTCAACATAAGTGAAGAGTGGTGATTTAGTTGATCCGTTTTCAAACAGAATTGTTAGTGCTAAAGAACTATCTACTTTAATAAGAATAGGAAAAAGGAGATCAGTTATGTCTGTAAAGGATCAAGTTATATTTACTTTTATGAAGTTGAAAACTGATATGCAAGATATAATGTCTTATTCATTTTATTTGGAGTAAATGAAACTTTTTATCGTTAAATTTTTTAACAGTTTTTAATAAAACTGGTAGAAGTTCTTAGTATGGTATAATTCGGCCTTCAAAACAAGAAATATTAAATAATGTGCCTCTATGTAAGTAAGAGTACTTCTACTTGATTGTACCGAAATCCCAATACAGCAAGCCAAATGTCTTTGTTGTAGGCTAAAAAATTACTCTGACTACAAAAAGAGGCATACTATTAAAATATTGACTGGAGTGTCACCTACTGGTCTCATTACTTACAAAAGTGAAGCATAAGCATATGGTGGTAAACTTCAGAAATAGACAATTTTAACAAAGTTCAATACTTGAAGTGTGTGAATCATTTCTCGATAGTAAAATGTTTAACAAAGGTTTTCTTATTGGAAACATAACAGAAGCTGAAGGTATACAAATTATACAGCCTCCTTTCCTCAATAAAAAAAATCAGTTCAGCCATCAAGAGGCTTTACTTAATGCCAAAATTGCCAGAGCTAGAATTCACATAGAAAGAACCTATCAAAGAATAAAAGTGTTTGTCTCTCTGTATTGGTACTTATGTACATTTTTCTTCTATTTATATTGAGTTTTTATTATACGATACTTCTCTGTATCTAACTAACTTTTAAAATGTACTTGTAAAGCCCAGATAGCTCTAACTCGGGCCTTTGAATATAATAATATTTATGTAATTGTATGTACAATAAATACTTTATTATTATTAATATTATTATTATAATTAATTATAATTCGTAAAATTATTATAAACGTATTTACCTTGTACCTACTTGTATTGATACTTGCGTGAAAAATGAAATGTTACTTTTTATATTTCTGTAGCTGGTCTTACAAATCTTTATAGAGCAATTCACCATTTAAATTTAAAAAAAAAACAACTTTTTATACTCAAATAATTAAAAAACTTAAAACAGAACAAAAGTATAATTAAAACTAAATAAAATAAACAATTCAACAAAATGTCCGACTGAGTAATGACAATGAGAACAAAATCTCAACTAGACTAAACTTTCTTTAAAACCGGTCCTGTGAAAGGTTTGTTTACCAGTGAGCACTCAAAATTGAGACAAAACACAAACATTGCATGCACTAGACAAAGAGAAAACATCTCCCAGTTCGACCCACTTTTCATCGTTTTATTTACGTATGGATAAGCAGTCTATTTAAACTATATATGTCATTGAATGTTACCAAAATTCGAATCAGTATGGCTTAGCTTAAAGGTTATATGCCATAAGAAGGTAAGGAGCACATATCAGGGACATAAAGATAGGACACGCAACGACCTCAAGAACGATGGCGTCATGTATGCATCTCAAATGTTTACTAAAGGTACACGTCATTTCTTAGAATATATATAGTCAGGAAGGAGGAATCCTAAACGACCTTGGAATCCGACAATGTTCAAAACATGAACCTCTAGGCTTATTGTACCCCTCACAGTCTCTACCCCATCAGGCTAATTTTCTTGATGAATTCAAGAATATGTCTGATGCGTACTTTCGCGATTTTTTCAAGTTCCGGATATTGTACCCCGGAGTGTTATTCCCGTTTCCATTTAAGATTCTGGCAATGGCGTAGTATGTGAATAGGAGTTTCGTCTTCCTTTTCACATATTCTACAGTCGTCAGATATCCCTAGGAGATCTAAGGCCGCAGTGTCCCGTAAAGAATCCTATTTCGGCATTTAATTCGCTTCTGCTACTACCATCAATTGATCTTGTCTGCTTTTGGATGGACCCTCTATGAATATATTTAGACTGCCCAAGTCCAGGAAGTTTCAACAAGAGCCTATGGTGTTCTCTATTTATCTCTTCCGTTAGCACCCATTTAATATGTTGATATGAAAGACCACATGTGGGTTCTAGTCCAGTTAAAGTTTTCTCAGTTCCCTTCCTAACTGGGAGGTCTGTTTTTTCGTTTCCCAACCCTTCTTCATTTTATTTTTTTTTGTTTCTATTTTTGTTTAAAGGTATACTGTTATTCATGATATAGGGTCATCTTCCTCCTTCAGTACATGAGCTGGGTCAGACAGCGGTGAGTACCCCAAGAGTCCTCTTCGTCTTCACCCAGATCATGTGCTGTGGATTCCGAGCTCCCTATTTCCATTGGTTCGGTATCCCCCATTTCTTGCAGTTCTGCAGGAATAGACTTTTCCGTCTTTGCTCCAATCTTTTTTATCAAGATATTGGAGAAATTCAGAAACAGTATTCCTTAATTCAGATAGATAGATAGATAGATAGATATATAGATAGATAGATAGTAGATAGATAGATAGATAGATAGATAGATAGATAGGAAGATAGATAGATAGATCTCACAATTACTATTAATAAAAAGTGTAGAAAAAGAGTTTAGAAGTTCGACCTTGACCTCACTTTTAAAACGCAGATACGCATTTATATTTTCTACATACATTTAAGCATTAAGTTGAATTTTATTTGTCTTGACTAAGTTTATGTTAATGTTTATGCTTATGTTATTCTGTATAAACAGGTACACTGAAATGTATTGAATTTAACTTTTATGTTAATGTCTATTTTAATGCTTAAATCTAAATCAGGCTGACTAAACGCGGCTTAAATGCACCTTAACAGAGATAATTTGTTAGGATATCGAAAATGTATAAATTATTTTAATATAAAATCAATAATCTAATGTGAACATACTTACGAGGGACAGGATGGTGGAGGACATGCTGGTGGACAGCAAGATGGTGGAGGGCAGGAAGGTGGACAGCAGGATGGTGGTGGACAAGATGGTGGACAGCAGGACGGAGGTGGACATGATGGCGGGCAGCAGGACGGTGGTGGACATGATGGTGGACAACACGGTTTCGGACAACATCCACTATCAGAGCTGCAACATGACGAGGTCGGACACGGCCTGGGGCACAACGGAGGTGGAGGACAGGCTGGCGGACAAGCAGGGGGACACGATGGAGGGCAGCAAGAAGGAGGCGGACAACAGGATGGAGGCGGACAACAGGACGGTGGCGGACAACAGGACGGTGGCGGACAACAGGACGGTGGCGGACAACAGGACGGTGGCGGACAACAGGACGATGGCGGACAACAAGACGGTGGGGATGGACAACATGATGGAGGCGCGCAACAAGAAGGAGGGCCGCAGCAGGTCGGTGGCGCGCAACAAGGAGATGCTGGACAACACGAAGAGCACTTTGGAACACATCTTGGTGGACAGCATGCTGAAAGTGTCAGAAATGTATTCATCATATAAATCGTAGTTTTTGGAAACTTACGTTTTGGTGCTTTTTTATATCTATACAAAGCTTTTCCTTCCTTGTCTTTGAAGAGTACCGATTTGTCAGCCAAATTCATTTGGAATTGGGTCACGATGAGTTTTCCGAAGCACGATAGCCTTATGTATATGCCAATTTTTCCAACGATGTCTCCTGTAATTTTTTCAATGTCGTATTCGTTTTTCATGGTTTTAGCAGCAGGTTGCGTTCCTACGGTATAAGTAGAATAAATCGTTGTAACAAAAAGTAATAATTCAGATCCAGATGAAGAAATAAGCTAGAGTAAAATTACTATAGAAAGCGTCAATACTATCAAAGAGTAAGTAGAGTAGGAAGTGTAGGGAGAAGTTAGAATACATTTTATTTATTAATTTACTTCTATCTGTAAATCTATGTTAAAATAACCCAGTTTGGATTTTATATTCTTTGTATCTATCAGCTGTGTACAACACTTACCTTCAGTTCTAGTACTAGTCAAGCTACAAATCAACTCGCAAAAGAGTTTAACGATGGGGATGACGGCCATCCCGATTTCGACTTTTTCGGGCAACCATCCTGGTTGCATTCGCTTGTAAATCGTTACGTAGATGTCAAATTTTTCCATGCAGTACTCCACCTGACAACCAGACATAGAAAACAGGCAGGATTTGCCGCTTTTTACACTTGTGTCTCTGGGACATTTCGAACCATAATTCCTAAACAAACAAAAAAGTGAAATATAACATAAGTACCTAAGAGAGAATGTCTTATGCTGTTACAAGTTAATTTTGTATATTTTATACGACAGGTACACTACGACAGGTATAGCTGAAGCTGCCAACTTTAACGCATTGTTCCCGATTTGTGAGATTACTCTTAAAAACATTCAACACTACGCCACGAATTTCGTAACGTTCTAGAATGTAATAGAGCTTTTTGTGGTTAACGGTGTCAACTGCTTTAATGAGATCCAGAAAAACTAATGTACATTTTTATTGTCATCTAAACCCTCTGTAATGTTGTTAATAACTGCCAAAACCAAACGGCTGTGTATGTAATATATTTTTATTATGATAAAAAATTACTCTCTTCTAAAATTATTTTATAACACTTATTGGTCTATAGTTTGAAATTTTTGAAGCCGTTTTAAGATATGTTGATGATTGTTTTTTATAATTTTCTTCCATCAATGTTATCCCATTAATATCTAGTGAACTATTTATTACTTTTTAATGAAGATAAATCTATTAGTTCATTATCTGTAATACGATTAAGAAACATAGTATTAGAGTTATTTGATAGTATTTCTGTGAAGTTTTACTCATATTTTTTAGACCAACGTTGATGAAATATTTATGGGTATATCTAATTTGCCAGGTAAGATCAATTTTAACTCCAATTCCTCCAAGGAGTACTTTGCTCTTGCCAATGTTAACAAAATCAGTGCCAGGTACTAAAAAAACACGCTAGATTGCTGCTCCTTCGCACACGTAATACCATTCCAATACTTTTTTGTCAGGTGAAACCATTTTTCCTTCTATCGCCTCCAAGGGGTACTTTGGTCTTGCTAATTTTGATAATTTTCTTGTACCTAGCAGATTCAGAATGTGGAATATACTCCAGATCCTTAAACCTATATAAAAAGGACTGTTAGTAAATAGTGCCAGTGTAATTCAGACCGAGCTCACGGGGATTCTTATAGCAGCAAAAAAGTTAGCAAAAACAATGTTCCTTGCTCATCTATACAGATAGCAGACAAGTACACTCACGCTGGACAGACTACAAATTTACACAGAATTAGTACTAGAATGACACGAAGCCGAAGTATACATCAATAATCTAGTCACTTTAAGATGGATCAAACGTCACGCCGCATCGAGAGGTAACCGTCTTGCTGATTCATTAGCCAAGAATGCAACCAACCAAATAAATTTTGTATCTAGCCCTTCTATTGAACTGACAACAACGGTAGTGATAAACCTAAGTAAAGACCATTCCCTTGTGAACTTCAATGAAAGTTGGGATGAAACAAGAAACAGCAGAGTTGCCAAGGATAAGTTACCCTGACAACACTACAGTAAATAAATACTTGACTGACTAGACAGAATCTGCGCCTGAGCACAAGAATTCTGACTGGTTATTTCCAAGTACGGGAGCTTCTCCATATAATGGGGTTGTCAGAATCCGCACTCTGCAGTGGTTGCGAACAAGAAGATAAGACCATTGAGGCATATCCTCTACGATTACCCGACGCTCTTATTTATTAGAAGATTTTTGTTTGGCGAGCATCGGCTAACACCGATCGATATAAGAGAAGCACCTCTTGGCGACGTTGTCAATTACATTAAATCTGAAGGCTGGCTCACTAATTAAGAGATGTCTATCAATTTATGAGGATGCATAATGGGCTTAGTGAGCCCTAAGTACCATTGGGTATCCCACCCTTCACACATTACATATACAATATACAGATAGTACCTAGCACGGATCTTATTAAAATTGACAAGAGTAAAGTACCCCCTTGAAGACGATGGGAGGAAACATGTTTTCACCTGGCAAAAAGGTATTGGAATGGGTATTACGTGTTCAAAGTTTCAGCAATCTAGCGCATTTTTCTAGTACCTGGCACTAGTTTTGTTAAAATTTACAAGAGCAAAGTACCCTTTCGATGCGACGGGGGAAAAATGGTTTCATCTGACAAAAGGTATTGGAATAGGAATAGGAAATTCAATGTGTTAGAGAGAGAGAGGTCCCCGGTCGCAATGCCGCAATGCGATCGAGAGAGATGTGCATATAATCTTACGTGACGTAGGTGGGTGACGTAGATTAACGTTAAAGAGAAAAATCACGCGCAATAGCAAAGCCAAAAGGGCCTACGTTTATATCTTCGTTGCTATTGGTCCGATTTACATGTAACAAATGGCGTTGTGAGGGAGAAGTGGTGTAGATTAACGTTGAAAAAAAAATCACGCGCAATAGCAAACCCAAAAGGACGGTCTATCTGTGTCGTCTGTCTGTCTGTTGGCGCGATAGCTCAAAAACGGCTTTAAAGAAAAACTTCAAATTTTGTATACAGGTAAGGTTCCTTTCTGGCACAAAACTAGTTATATTTCCGGTCAGTTATATACAAGGTGAGCAGTTTTAAAAAAATAATTTATTTTTAAAAGTGGGCAGGTTTCGACTAAAATTTTATTTTAGAAGTCAATGATAACAGATCCTAAATAAGTTTTCTAAAATTCGAAATGATGTTGAAAGGAATCGTATTTAATCAAAAATAGTCCCCCTTAAATTAAAATAATAAAAAGTGTCCTTTTCGTTTGTGTAACTGGACCATTTTAAAAGTAGCCAATCATTAACATTCAGTAACGGTGAAAAAGAGTTTTCTTGATCTTCCTCTTGACTCAAACTGAACTCTCACTTCGCGTTAGTTCGGTGTTATTCGTCTAATTGCTTAGGAGTTTCTTGCTTTTAAAATTTTTATATCGAGGGAAGATCTGGGTAAAATACTTTACCGATTTTTTTAATTTAACTCTACATTTTAGTGGCACAATTAAATCCAAGGTTTTATTTTCAATATTTTGTCCTATTCCGTATGTCGCTTTTGAATTTTCGATTTATTTGCGGAATTTACTCAGCTGCGACCAAAGAGGTTAGAAAGGGTAGAGGTAACATAGGAAGCATTTCTCGCTGCGCGAATTTTGCCAAAACCGAAAAACTGGGTGGAAGGAGTAGGGAGATGTTCTGGGCCGGACTTAAATATTTGTATTGTAGTACCTAATTTTGGTGTCTAATTAAAAGATGAAAAATTATGAGACGTTTGTTTGACTTTACTTGTTAGTACGATTCATGTATGATGAGGGCAATAACACTTTATCAATATATAACTAGCTAAGGGCCGATTCCACCGTTGTGTCAAACGAAGTTTAAATTATTAAACGAAGATTAAAATGACATTGTTAATGTAAAAATGTCATTTTAAACTCCATTTAGTAATTTAAACTTCGTTTTCGTTAATATAAAAATGTCATTTTAATCTTCGATTAGTATTTTAAACTTCGTTTATCAAAACGGTGAAATCTACCCTAAGTAAAAGTTTATAAGTACTTTTTGCTCGAATTACACACAAGATTTTTTCTACGATCACACCAAAATAAAATAAATAACTAAATTTTATAAGAAATGGGTTACCTTTTCGTTCGTTATAATATTTTAAGTTTATTTGACATAGGCCTACTGTTTTGGTACTTATATCCTGGTAATTATTTATGATTTAATTATTTACGGAAAATACCGTTCAATGAATTAAAATATTAGAAAGTCAATTAGTAGTTATTTATATAACCAGTTACGATATGCCTTAGTTTGTGTAACGAGTAAATATTTGCAAACGAGCGGAACGAGTTCCCGCAATATGAACGACTTACACAAAACGGCATTTTGTAACGTGTTTATATGCAAGATTTTTTCTAATTTTGACTTGATTATTTATAAAATTGTGTTGAAAAATGATTCACGATCATTCTTGTGTAGGTACTTCCAATCAAATATTTTAGAAAATTGTTGTATTTGATTGCCCTACGACGTTTTTTTTTCAATAGTAATAATAAAAATTAGGGACATGTGCAGTGTTGCCGATCTAATTTTTGACATTACCCGCGAGAAAATTGAAAAAAAAACATGTTTACCCATTAGCCTTAAAGAAGTACGTCAAAATTTTACCCCCAACATTTCTGGGCAGTTTTCAATAACGGTGTTATTTTAAAAATTAAACGCAATTTGCAGCTTTTCTTTTTTTGTTTTCTTTTTTGTTTTTAAACGTAATGTCATATTTTCAAATGTGAAATGTCACTATTCATTGCCTCTTTTTCGATATTTGGTTTTTTCGATTTTTCGTTTTTTAGATTTTTTGATTTTTTATTTTTAGATTTTTAGATTTTTCGATTTTTTGATTTTTCGATTTTTCGATTTTTCGATTTTTCGATTTTTCGATTACTCGATTTTTCGATTACTCGATTTTTCGATTACTCGATTTTTCGATTACTCGATTTCTCAATTTCTCGATTTCTCGATTTCACGATTTTTCTACTTAGAAACCAAAAAAGAGGCAGTTTTATTTATTTTCATTTCGTAACTGGTGACATAATCAACTTTTCGTAATCAGTTGCATAATGTTCTACTTTATGCAAATGTCCATATAAATATTCATTAAATCTATTTAAGCCAAAAATTATTGCAAGGACCTCTCTTTCAATTTGGGAATATTTTTGTTCGGACTTTGATAAGGTACGCGAAGCAGAAGCTATAGATTTTTCAATTTTTTTTTGTTTTTTTTTCAAGAACATGACAAATTATTATCATGGCCCTTATTCCCACATTTGATGCATCTACGAATAATTTAATCGGCAACTCAGGCTGAAAATGCACAAGAGCATCATTTATTTTTGATTTATTCCAAAGATTCCTTGCAAAAATGATCCCAAATCCATTTCACCCATAAAAAATTAAATAAAAAAAAGTCCTAAAGCAAAATCATATCCTCCTTCCTGTTAGTGACTTAAAAAAATTACTTCCCAAAAAACGGTCCTCAAGCCAGGTCCCTCCATTTTGTGGCGATAGTACTGTTTTTTTTTATTGTGATTATTTTCTTTGCGGAAACTTTGGCTTTACACTTTGAGTAAAACTGTTATAGAGAATTACTAAATAGTTTTGAGAAAACTATTGAAACCAGTTGTGAAGTTTGAAACGAATAAATTGGCAATGAAATTGATATTTTTGTATTTGATTGTATGTTTCTCTTTTCACTCCCTAAAAAAAGATTCCCTATGAAACAAGAAATAGTAAACAGTTTATAATAATAACCTTTATTTGCTACTTGTAACATGTACCAATAACCAAGTCCGATTCTGTTTATTTTCAAATCAACAAATATGGACGTCGACAGAATCTTTAAAAATTAAATATCTCACCGAAATAAATATAAGTTTCTTTTATCTCCGTCACATTTCGCAGGTTTATTATAAATAAAGCTTTTTACAACACATCTTGGCATTTTTAACGTTAATTTCCAAAATTTAAGTCACTAATACCAAATTAATTCTCGTTGACACATTAAATTTGGATGGACAACGGTCTGACATGTGATGTTCTCAACTGTGATTGGTGGGTGTGAATCATTTTGAAATGGGATTATGCGCAGTGTCTTATGTTCCATCTAAGGTTTGTATAATCTAAGGCTGCGACCTAAATTTAAACTATCAGTACAATTTACATTTTTCATTATGGTTTGTCATTTTTGGCAATAATTACTCTTTCATCGAAGTATAAGTATGAGAATAAATGAGTCAAAAGTTATGTTGAATATTATGTGACTATACGAAAATACGATCTAAGCATGATTTGCAATCATGTGTAACGGGTAGGATTCAAAATATAAGTTACAAAACCATGTGTGGCCAGCACAGAAAAATATTTGTTTACAAGTTATTATCATTAAATTAATGTTTGTATCACCGATGTTAATGATATGATGAATTTATACTGTAGGTACAAGAAAGAAAAGTTTATTTTATTATGATAATGAATTTTTTAAATTTACGTTTTATGTATTATATAATTAATTAAAAAAAAAAATTAAAACCCAAATAATGTTGTTAAAGAATTATAAGAATAATTTCTTAAATATGGCAAGAGATGCCACATTGAGTATACGTTGCTTAATGTTACCAAGTATATGAGGATATTACCTTTGAGGATTAAAATCTGCTTCGCACACGTCCAACGGGGCATTATCCAGGAACTGGAATTGCACGCACTTTTCTCCTCCTGGTGATACGCAATCGCAAGCCGGTGCCAGGGTTACGTGGTCCACCAGAAATTCCATGAGGAAGAGGTTCTCTGAGGCAACTTGCTTTGCCATTTTTGTACATGAATTTTAAATTTTTAAAAAGCAAAACATTTCCAAAAACGAAGGTACTTTACGAAAATTTTGACTTTGCTGAATGACGTTAACGAATGTTAAAGATGGCGGGGAGTTTCATTGGCGTAGAGTTTTTTAATAGCAATCAGAGACTACCACAAATTTAATGTACAGTGTCCTCTCCATCTAACATAGTAACAAAGCAATAAATTAAAGAAACTGCTTCAAAAGGTTGCTATTTGTATAATAACATAGATATGGCAGATATGGAAGTGGAAAAAGGCCTATTTAGGGAGAGAACATAAAATATAAATATTTTTCTACCAGTGTAAATTATTAAACAGGAATACTTTGGATTTGATCATAGCCTCATTCCAATTTTTCACACATTTTCTGCTATTATGAGTTATCCTCCTTTTCAGGATAATTTGCTCTGATTACAATAGTAAACCAAATTTTTGTGGTACCTGGGTGGCAGGATGTATTTCCAAAATAATACTACCAATTTTTCTATTTTCAACTTTATATTATATGTACAAGCACATAATAAATTGGGAAATATCATTTAGGGAAACCACAAAAACCTAAATCACGATACAATATTGTTACAATAGGCTATATACGTTTTAGGATACGTGGGATTATCTTATAGATAATAGGACAGCGTCCAGTAGGTACTGGAGCTCTGCAGGGAGTGGGAGGTCTTGAGAGTCTGAGTGTAATTGTATGTTAGGTTGAAAAGTTTTTTCTTTGGTTTGCGGAATCATGGGCTTCGCAGAGGGCGCCAAGGGATTTGCACATTGTTTTGGGATTGTTTGTTTGAATCATTTTAATTTATAGCAACTACTGGAGTACCTCAGGGAAGTAATGTGGCTCCTCTTTTTTTTTTGTTATTTGTGAATTATGGTATAATGAAATGGTATATTGTTTAATGAATAAGGAATGGTACTCTTCAGAATTTGCAGCTCTCAAAGCAAGAAAAGTTCAGTTTCTACCACCAAGATAGAATAAAGTAGATCAGACATAAACTTTATTTTGCGATATGAGAGATGGACATACTTCGAGTGACGGAATAATGTAATGAAAATGGCGACTTTAGTCTTACTTTGATTTATTTGAACTTAATAATTTTATATTTGAAGACTGACAGAATGAAACTGATTTTATATCATTTAAACAAGTATTACAAATTAAAAATTAAAAAAAACCGACTTCAAAAACGTGCAGATGCCACATCTTAACCAAATTTATATGGGACCACCCCTGAGGTACCCCCTTACTAACAAAAAAAGAATCGTATAAATCGGACAAGGTGGTAAAGCATTATCGCTAAACATACATAAAAAATGAAGAGTTTGAGGCATGGATCCAATCATTAGATTTTGACAAAATTTATATGGGACCACCCCTACAGTAGCCTCTTTCTAACAAAAAAAGAATCATTGAAATCGGACACCGTGTTAAAGAATAATCGCTGAACATACATAAAAAAAAAATATCGCGACGAATTGATAACCTCCTCCTTTTTTGAAGTCGGTTAATGAAGCTATTTTTAAAAAAATGGCACCAAAACTGACTAACTTCAGTTTGACATATGACGTAAAAGTGTAATGCAAAGATGCGGACACTTTAGTATCGTCATAGGTCATAGCATCTCCTCTTTATTCTATTTCTACATTATTTTGTTTTTGTATACATATTAGTTTATTAGACCTTTTAGGGTTTAGATTGCTTTAAATATATCATGAGTTATTAACAAAAAAAATATTTAAAATTACAAAAAGAGCACGAAAATTTTGGTTGCACGCAGATATAGGACGTACAACTGTTACTGTTTAAAAAACAAATATTAAAAAATTAAGTACAACTCTCAGTTTTCAGTTGTTTACTTTCAGCTTATCTGTAATTGCCATTTAAGAATTTTACAACCGTATCCGTTGCTACTTGCAATAGAATAGCGAACTGCAACCAAAACCATTCAAATTAAAATTACAAAATTATAAAAAAAACACGAAAAATTTGGTTGCACGCGGACGTACTAAGTTCAAGGAACGTTCCTTATTCATATGGACGTACTACTGTTACTGTTTTAAAAACAAATATTAAAAATTAAGTACAACTCTTAGTTTTTAGTTGTTTACTTTCAGCTTATCTGAAATTGCCATTTAAGAATTTTACAACCGTATCCGTTGCTACTTGCAATAGATAGCGAACTGCAACCAAAACCATTCAAATTAATATCCGGTGCACTTCCAGGAATTTCTTGAGTGATATCGGTCCTTTTTGGGAACTTTATCAACTTTGTTAGATATTGCATCAGACCATTCCGTGCTTCAAATAATAGAATTTTCAAAGCTCTGTTCTGTTTCTTTACCTGGCAGTGGTGCATCTGAGTGGATTTTCAGCGCATGCACATGTCGCGGTGATATATTTATATAGTAGAGTGGAAACAGGCTAATATTGGGACAGTAAATAAATATCACGATGATTCATTGAATTTAGATCATTTTTAACAGATTAATCATCTACACGTTGAAATAATTTATTTTATTTGAACATTTTGGAAAATTTTACAGTTCTGGCAACGTCGTCAGTATTATTTTAAGTTTTGTTTGTTGCATACGATATCTTTGGTTTGATGTGTAAATGATTCTCGATCTGTAATAAAATATTTGTATGTCTGATTGCATTTTAGAGATTGGACCAGAACAGGTCTGTTAAATTTTCTGTCTATATCAATGCCTTTTGTTAATCCACTTCAATAAAGATTTTCAATTCGTCGGAATATTTTCTTTGTTCAACAATAATAGTTATTTACTACGTTGTCTGATTTCATAAAAAGGGAGTACTTTAGGGGTAGTTACATATAAATTTGGTTAATATCTGATGATGAGATCAATGAGAAATTTATCAAGCTCTTCATTTTTGAAGGCGGTTTTTTTAAAATTGGGTTTATTTTGGTTTAAACAGAACCGTTGATTCCAGTTCTCAATACAGCTGACGAGCTCAGTCTTCAAGAATATAATAATAATATAATAACCAATTGAGCTGAACGAGTGTAATTCTCTGATTCTGAACTAGTTCGTGAAATAACCATAACAAGCCTATTGCTTTTATTGTTCGTTCGTATAAACTTTCTCAGACAATAAGGATCCAAAAAGTGTCTATCAATCGCACCTGAAATAGGTTTGTAATTGTATAAATAATAGGTACTGTGCCCCAGGAAAGAATAATCAATAAAGGTATAATGAAATATTCGAATATTCATTTTCAGGATTTAGTTACTGCTCCCAGTACACAGTTGATCGGCACCGAAACTAGGCTGAAGGAGGCTTGCCGGATGCCGGACTCGGTCCAATATACGGGTGGAGCTTCGGCATATAGGTAGGGCATGTCTGCCCAGTCCAGGGACCCCAGATGTACTACTGAGCCTAAATTCGTGAATTTGATCATAAAAAAAATCGTGAGAAATCGTGAGATTGTACAACGCATGCTCAATTTAGTGAAATATATAGCATTTTCGATTAATATGTACTCTGTCCGAGAGGAGAACAAGGAATGGCCGACTTTTGACTCTCAGTATCGTTCTATAATAGATAAAGACAAGTCTTCAAGCAAAAACTTCTCCTCCTTAAGGCAAATTTTTAAAAAAATAAAAAAACGTCCTCACCTGAAGCTGCCGGGCTCCCCTTATGCCGCTGCCGGGTCCCCACTTGAGCCCGGGCCCCGGGAATTAGTCCCGGCTACCCCCCTCTCGTCGGCCCTGGATAAAGACAAAAAATAGTTTTCTGTCATTTTGGCTCTCCTTTCGGACATATAGGTTTTATTCAAAAACGCTAACATATTTTTTGGAAGTAAGAGAGTATTTTCGTTTTTCCAGTACCATCTAAATGTCTCAAAATACTTATTTGGAATTTTCATATAAACTTCTCTAATAAAGAAAAAAATAATAAATTTTTTAGGAATAGGTGGTTAGGGAATTGACCACTGCAAGCCTGCAAATTTAACAGTCGGGAACCACCGTTGAGACAGTCAACAAGTTTCAGTCGTCCACCTTGTATTGGCCAAAGCATTCCAGAGTTGGACTCTATAGCATAATTCAATTATATGATTAATTAAAATTAATTGTTTTTACATAAAAACTTAAGGTAACGTTAATGCAAGCAGCTTGTTTAAAAATATCGTGAGAATAAGGCACATTATCGTGAGATCTGGGATCCCTGGTCCAGCCCATTAAATTCTAGCCGCGTTCATATATCTATATATAATTCGGCCCGTAAGGATGCCTCCTATGCCCGACTAGCCAAATATTCATCGCGATCGGCCTGTAAGGATGCCTCCCGTGTCTGGAAAGCCAAATATGGACCATATGCGGTTTCTACTTCTAAATTACGTCGAATGATGTGGTCCTCCCGGCTCAGAAGAAACCCCGACAGCGGCAATCCGAGTACTCGGTTTCCCGTACATGCCGGTGTCAGGCCGAGCGAATGCCGACTACTTGAGGTTCACTAGGATGTCAAAAATTAAGATGTGCCAAATATGAGTTAAATCCATAGTATACAAGGTGTTCCAGAGGCAACATTTTATAGTAAAAAACCACTTATTTCTTATTTTATAGCGCGAGTGAACTTTTCACTACTTTTGGCCTACATATATGTTTTTTAACATTGCTTTCCGGTTTAACATTGCTAATCGGCTTTTATTTTTTCCAGGGATTGTTTAAAAACGATAAACACGCGTTAGTTTCTCTATAGTTTTAGCATTACCCAATTTAGTAATCTTACATAAAATAAATAAATAAATAAATTAAAAAACTGTTTCAATTGCATAAATTATAAACTAAGAACCACCTACAAACTAAATTTAGAGCCAACTCTGGCAAACACAGTATAATGTAGTTCTAACGGTAATCTGCATAGCAAAAATTGTGCGTTAACCAGAAACAACTACTAGACTAATTTTATTTACAAAAATCGAATTGCAAACATTCACGGTCTTAGAGAGTCTTATTACATGGATTGTTTATGGTTATAATTCGGTATTAACTTAACATGAAGCTCTAAAACGCACAAAAGGCTTTCAAACTTACATTAGGGAAGTTTATTTGCATTATTAATGCCAATTATTTATACCGATTCGTTCATAAAACGCATGCTCGCTCATCAGATAAGCAAACTCTCACAAACCATTCCCACTCAAAATTAGCAGCCTTCTCTTTCTTTATAATGCGACAGCCGATGTGACACCTCTGTCTGCGTAATATGAAACACAGTCTGAATGATTGCAATACATAAGGGATTAATTATGAACGAATGGATTAGTTTAGTAGTTTTTCGTCGTTAGTTAATAGCTATCTCACTTCGTGGAGAATAAAACCATCAAGACTGATACAAGCTCCGAATAGCTCCCACTAATGGATGCTTCTCCCCGACACTCGCACAAGCCCGTTTAAAATAATTCTACTAATTAGATACACAAGCGCTAAATAGTTTAAAGACACATAATAGCGCTGTTTTCATTTTACGGCAGGAATGGTAATGAAAATGCCATTATTTTCAACCAATCAAAAGGATAAGCTTCTTAGACTCCTCATACAGAGACCATCCAGGCAAGACAGTCACAAAATTAAAAAATAAATAAAATGTTACACACGCATAAAATTATTTAAACCCGGCATGTTTTGTACTCAGTTTAATATTAACACATTTTCAACGAATACTAGTTTTGTTAAGTGGTTGTTATACTATTTTAAAATTTTAAGTAAATGAAATAATGTCAGTTAATATTCAAAGCATTTCTCTTCATTTTTTAACATGCATCTACGACACCATTAATCAAGCATCAAGATATTCTACAATGACAACACTTAATTATCTACAGTCCACGCTTCACCTTCTACGAGGAAACATAAAGGCCAGAGGATGGTAAGTTGAGAAAAAACGATATCTTACAGGTATTATTTATAAAGTGTCAGGTAATTTTTATGTCTCAGATAACTTAAAATGTTATCTTTTCACTTTTGGTAAAAGTGACCGACAGGTAAATTAGTCTAATCTGAAAGATAACTTATCTTACATCTGAACTTCCTGATAAAGTACTTAACTAATGGATAAATATGTAATATGACAAGTGTCAATATCTTTTATTTGCTTTTATGGACTTTGTTGAAGATATTGTGTTGTTGTAAATAGATGTTTGAATTTAAACGTAATAGGTATACTTAAGAAAAAAAAATTATTTTACCTTACTTGTGCGGCCATTTCCTAAACCAACTTTGACACAGATGAAATCTGCATCCGATAAATGTTACTTCGGGCCAAACCAGAATGCATGCGTTATGACCATCTGAGTTCATGCTATCATTAATGATGATCTCAGCTAGTGTTGGATTAAAAAATTACTTTATTAAACCACCTGAGATAAAGTGCACCGTTGGTATCAGATCGACTGAGTAACCTAATGTCCTATTCGAAAAACAAACCGGCAGTGATGTAGAGATAAGCATTCCTCGTTTTACGATGTAGGCATCGCAAAAAACCAAACGCATGTTCCCAAAACATATTTTAAGCTGAAATACATGCAACTCTATTGGGTGTAAGATAAAACCTAAGATCTTAATACAAGAAAACAAACTATCTCCATTTTGTCAGATAGCTAAGCAACCAAAATCAAGTGAAAATTGGTCTGGAACTTCCATGGATCTGGTAATATAAAACAAGGATTGGTAACAGAACAAAGGTATCCAAGGAAATGAAAACCTGTGTCTAGGATAAGCACAACCTTTGCTCGGCAGACAGTGAACAGGTAACACCAAACACACTGGCAACATATAAAGAGGCCCAGCAGAATCAGTATGCTTGTGCTGCGACCAAACCCATGCATGGCTGCTGATGTACTATAGCTCGCAAGGCTCTAGATCTTCACTAGTGTAGGATTACTAACAATACTGATTGTTAAAACATCTTTTTTTTATATGATGAGATTACTTTATAATCCCACCACCTGTAGATTCTGCGCGAAAGAGGAAGAAACCAGATTATTTTCGAATGTAAAGCTATAGCAAGGCAGCGATAAACCCTTTTCAGTTTCAACTGGAAATAACGAACCAGGTACACTTGGTAGGGAATTTAGGATAACCAACCAAAGACACGGTACCTGATTACGGGGAAAGCAGTGGACTATAATAGAAACAACAGTATTTTGAGCTATATCTAACCTTACCTACTTATAACCGACAAAAATAGAGATAAGATAAAGATAAAAAAAGATATGTTGTTTTCAAACTGACTGCTGTGGTAATAAAACAATTTTTGGTGTATGCCACTCTACTATAGACGCGGGTAGAATTTTTAGCAGTCTGTTAAAAGAGTTCGAGTTAGAGTTCAATTTCAGTTACAGCTTACAGCGTACATTTACACAGTCGCGGCGGGCGAAGTGGAAAAAACTACCGAGTCTCCGAAAGCGCCGGTTCAAATTTTTGAATGGTACGTCCACGTTTTTTTTTTATTAAAATTTATAAAATTTTGTTTTGGATGTTGATATTGAGAGTCATAGTGTTTGTATTAAACGTAGATTAGCTTTTTGATTTAAAAAGTTCTTTTATGCCCCTTATAATTGAAAAGCACATGGACAATATGGTACAGTAAAAATATAATTATTAAATTGTTAATAATAATAATAATTGTAGTAGTAAAATTTGTGTGTTTGGAAAATCTAAAAAAGCTCGCGGTAATTGATTTTTCTTAAATATCAAGTTAATTACAGCGCCTTTTTTTAATGCTGCCAGTTGGTGATTTTGAATTTTTTTTTTGTTTATTTATTTAATTTTTAATTGATAATTTATATCAGAAACAGCTTTTAATATTGGTTAAAAATATATAGATTCTTTAAGAATGATGCAATATCAAAAGCCTTATTTTCCTCAATTTTTTTTTAATTAAATAGGTACACAAAGTATATTTCAGTTCTAGCTGAAATAAAAATAATAGTAAGTAAATAAAAATAGTAGTAAATAAAGTATTTTGAGTAAATATTCACTAATTAAACATGTAATTAACATTTTGAACAAACTTTTTGCATTTATTTTGAAAAATTATTTAAATAAAATTGCAAATAACGATGTTTCGTCTCAACAATTCCATCTGCAGGGTAAATATAGTTACAATCCTTAAAATATTAGAAATTACAAACTTTACAAAGTTTTCTTGAAATTACCTAGGTACCTAACCAAAGTATACCTATTTTAATAAAATTAAGTAAATCTCCAGAAAATGGCCTTAAATTATCCTAATATTTCATTAAAAGAAAAAATTAAAAATTATGAAAATAGTCATTAATTCTATATTTTTTAGATTTATACATTTTTTGGACAAGAAAAATATTTAATAATGAAAATAAAAATATAAATATAATTTTCTTATTTAAAATTTTTGTGAAATGTTTAAAAAAATTAATTGCGTCGTTATTATTTATTTGCACGCGATATGGAACTATGGTTTATTGTTTCCAATACCTGCAAGTACGTATATTTAGTTTTTTCATAATGGAAAAGGGGTCAAACTAGATAATAACAGAATGTTTTAATTATTATTTTACTTTTGTTGATTTAAAGTTGAACTATGATTAATTTATGATTTGAAAAAATACTTAGTATATTATTTGTTGTCTATTTCCCGGATATAATTGAAATGTAGTATTTTTTACAGTTTTTAACCGACTTCAAAAAAGGTTTTCAATTCGTCGAAATATTTATGTATGTTCAGCGATAATTCTTTAACACGGTGTCCAATTTCAATGATTCTTTTTTTGTTAGAAAGGGGGTACTATAGGCGTGGTTCCATATAAATTTGGTCAACATCTAATAAATGAGTCCATGAAAAAATCCTCAAACTCTTAATTTTTTATGTATATTTATCTATAATTCTTTACTACCTTGTTCGATTTCTATGATTTTTTTTGTTAGTAAAGGGTTACCTCAAGGGTGGTCCCATATAAATTTGGTCAAGACGTGGTGATGTCATCTACACAATTTTGAAGTCGGTTTTTTAAAATTACTTTTAATACTTGTTGGAATAAAATTACTGTTTTAAACTTTTTGTAACTCTAGGTTTTTGGCACCAATCACAACCACACTTTTTGAAAAAAATAAATATATATATATTTTAAATAATCATTATAGTGCACTTACTAATTTATCAAAAATTACCATTTTATATGAGTTCACTGAAAAAAAAATTGTTCATTTAATATTTTAAATAAGTAATCACAGTATTTTGATATTCTACTATAACTTTTTCCTTATTTTGTAGAAATATAATATATTTAGCAAGAGCATTTTAAATCCAAGTTAAAGAATAAAAACTAAACAAGGTACCTACAAGGACAAAAAAATTTAGGTATTGACAGACAATGAAAATTACATTTTAATTTAAATTATTATAATCTTAAAATGTAATATTTAGTTTAAATTGTTAGTTATTCGTTTTTGTACTTGTAGATTTAACTTCAAGGTACATTTATTTCAATGTGACTGAATTGGCGACACCTGCAATAATTCTAACAAATCCCTTTTGTGTTGTTACACACATTCTGTGCAGGCTCAATAATATAGGTAGTGAGGTAGTGAGTCTATAGCTCAGCCAAGATTGTATTTTTCCATATACCAGATTTATCAAAAAATACCAGGTATAGTAGTAAATAAAACCAGAGATCTAGTGACTCTCATAAATCATATTAGCTATTGTCTGTCGGTTAAAAGATTCCCAGGTCCGGATTAAAATATAAATTCTCATGAAATAGTAAAGAATATGTGTTTTTAATAATATTAAAATTGAGGGCTCTCTATTTCAATTGTTAACAGTTTTATATGTAAAACTATTTTTATAATAAAAAATTTCCTAGAATTTAAAGTACTTATAAATAAAATTTATTTGCCTGACCACCTGACTTTCTGTACTAAACGTCTATTAAGGAGATTAGCGATAATAGAAGATAGAGTTACAAATAAATTACCAGACTTTGAAGACAAGAATACCATTGTTTAAGATATCGAGTCCTATAATTCCAGACAGATTAGAGAAAGTTAAATAAATAATGGGGAGTTAGTTAATATGTAACTGTTTTGAAAACTGACCAGTTACCGTTTTTAGAAACGAAAGGAGGATAGTAGTTAAACTAAATTCAGTCATTAACGAATATTCCGATGTGTCATTTATGTTTATTTCGAAGTGTCTTAAAAATTTTACATAGTGAAAAATGTTCCGTCCATGGGTTGAACCCGCAGCCAGTACTTCAACTGGTGGTGGTAATTCCACTAATCGACAAGTTTTGCACGTTGATGGAAATAAAAATATTAAGTGTTTATACCTCCCTTATGGAACGTGGAATGACCAAGACTCAAGCAATGCGAGAAACTGCCTCTTTAACGAAAACGCCGTATTCTACAGTATTTAAAATAATAAGTAACCCTATTTTAAAAATAAATAAAAGAAAAGACTCTGGTACTTCAAAAAAACTAGATGGCTGTGATGTAGACCTAATTCGAAGGAAAATATATGACTTGTATAGAGAGCAAATTGTGCCTACACTAGATAAATTGATGCAACGACTTGAAAAGAACGAAACTGGCATCCAGTGTAGCAAAGAGACTTTAAGGAAGTCTTGTTTAAGAAACGGGTTTAAATTTAAAAAACAGCAAAAAAGTCACAATGCGCCTTAAGCAATGGAGATTTCAATATTTATTGGCGATAAATGATTTTAGAGAATCTGGCAGAACAATTGTGTATTTGGATGAAACTTGGTTCGATACACACGATATACCAAACAAAAGTTGGGTAGACTCATCTGACTTGGGCCAGACTAATGCGCCACATAATAAAGGCAAACGTTTTACTATAATACATGCAGGAACTAATAATGGTTTTATACCTAATGCGTTGTCGTTATCTGCAAAAAATATTAAGGATTCCTTAGTTGATCACCATGACGACACTACTACTGAATTATTTGAAGATTGGTTGCAAACTAAACTTTTGCAAATATTCCACCCAACAGTGTTATCGTCATGGATAATGCTACCATAGTCGAAGACTAGATAATGCACCTTTTTCAAACGATATAAAAGCCATCATACAAGATTACATGGTAAACAATGATTTGTACTTTGAGGAAAAGTACACAAAAAAGCAGTTACTGGGAGTTTTAAAAAGCTATTCAATATAAAAGAAATATTTTTGGGACATACGGTGCTCAGACTTCCTCCTTACCACTGTATGTTTAACCCAATTGAACATATATGGCGTCAGCCTAAGACAGCAGTTCGAAGAAATAATACTTCTCCAAGTTCGATTGTGGTAGCTCTTATTCAAACAAGCTTCAAAAATTCCTGATAGCAGCTGGACTAAGAGTGTTTCCCATATAAAAAAAGGTGGAAAAGATATATATTATTATAGAAAAGATACCAAGAGAAAGGTTCATTATTAATTTGGATGACGATAGTGAAAGTGAAACTGAACTTCGTGAGTAATTTTGTTTAATTTTTTTTTAATAAATGAAATATTAGAAAATGAAATGTAAAAATTCCACTCTATTAATAAAAATACTTATCTGAGTAATTCAAAATCGACAATTGTTTCGGAAGCATAAACTTCTATCGTCAGGATTGACAATAGTGAAATTTTTATATTTAATTTTTTAATATTTTATTTATCATGAACAGATTCAACAATGTAAGGGTAGAAAAAATCACTATGACCTAGCTACTTATTCGTACTTTGTCATACTGATTTTTATTTTTACCAAGTTACCACTTTATACTTTTTAATAATTATATTTTATATGTTCAACCTACATTCTGTACTTTTAAATACTTTATTTTCTACTTTTTAGTACTTTTGTTACCTACCTACTTTTTCGTACTTTCTCATACCGATTTTTACTTTTACCATTTTAAATTACCTGCTGTTTTATGATAGTCACTAGATCTCTGGTTTAACTATACCTGTTATTTTCAAATTTTTTAATGCAAACATTTTTTTTTTGTTAATTCTGTTAGTGTGTTTGATACATTGCGTAACAAAAAGGGAGGTAATAAAAATTATATGACTTTTTGTGACGTCAATTTATCGTAACTCCAGTGGGAACGAATTTGGGTGGATAAAAAGGGATGGTCGACTTATTACGTGCCTTGAGAAATTTTCGGAATTTTGTCTCCAAATATGTTTTATGAAGGTTTTATTGGTCTAATTCTCATGGGATAACTTTTTATCTTTTCTGATTATTGTAGCCATGTAATATTAGAGACCCGGCGAACATAAATATTGCTTTTATTTATTAGACGTCTTAGATAAGATTTTATTATCTAAAAGATTCTTCGTTAAATATAGGAATTTAAATTTAATAAGAATGCAACTTTTCTTAATAAAATAAAATTAATAAATTATGAAGATATCTGGTTAGATAATTTCCCCTCCAAAAAAGGGTGCCT